ACATGAGCTTTTTCCAAAATAAAAAAATGACCATCTACTGAGAACTCTTTTTTCTTTTTCTTTTTGATGGTGGATTTTGTTGGATATTCTCCAGTTTGTGCCTCGGCTCTTCCCATATCAAATAACATCATAGACTTCATCTGACGGGAATCCCATGGAAGCCATCCCATGTCTTAAGGACACTTCCAGTGGGATTCCATGGTGTTCCATTTCCATAAGCACATGGAAACAGTGCCCAAAGACCGTCTTCAGGAGTTAAGAGTTTACGTGACTCCAAGAAGCAGAATACGGGAGAAAGATGCAGAAAAATACAGTAAGAATGTGGGATGGCTGGCCATTCCAAAAGATGGGGAAAGACTGGAGAGAATGAGGTAAGACAGTTCCTTCCACTTTCCCCTGCTTTCTCTTCACCCATCTAATGAGGTCCCAGAAGTTGCTAGGCCACTTGGAACAAAACTATAGTTTGCAACTCCCAACACATCCAAGCTGAAGCCTTTAGGCACTATATTTTAATTGTATTTGCTTTCTTCTGCATTTTATTATTGTTAGCTTCCTGAGTACTATTTTTTGGAAGAAAGGTGGGTTATAAATCTCATGGAGAAGAATACTATATAAACATATAAAACAATGATAATAAACTCTGCGTAAGCAATCATAAAAAAGAGTGCTGAGGGTGCTAGACTAGGAAGCGGATCTCTTTATGGAAAACGCTCTAGTAAAGAGCATCTGCATAAAACAGGGCCTGTAAAAAGATGGAATTATGATGTCCAAACAAACCATATTTCCTTTCTATAAACACAGTCTGAAGTTCAACTGTGAATCTTTTCTGCAGCCATATGGATGCCTATGACTTTTCAAACAGAAAAAGTGCTCCACTTACGGCCTCCCAGAGCACCCTCCCTCCCACGTCTCATGCACAAGCTTCCTACATTTTAGGTTTTACTGCTGCTTCCCTTTTCAACCCACACAAATTATTGCTGGCTCCATCTCCCTTTATCCAGGATCAGACCATGAGAGGGTCATTCTTATGCAGCAGCTGAAGCAGAGTTAGATATTTCGGATGCAAGGGCTGATGCTTGGGATAAAACCATGAGGCCAAGAAAGCCTAGTAAACAGACCAACAGTGTATTAGAGCCAAGGCTGCCACCCAAACTCCAAAGTCCTGCAGCAGAGAGGAAGGAGAAATTATTATGTGGCCTGGGACTGCCGCACAATGCCAGGGTTTGTTGCTGCTGCTGACGCAGATCTGGTCTCATCCGCTACACAAACTGCATAATAAAATGAAGAGGGTCTCTGCGACTCAGATCCATTTGGGCAGAGAAAGAACAGCTGAATAGGATAGAAAGATGCCAAAGAAAAATCAGGATGCCACTCAATAGTTACGAGTTTCTCCCTCTTCATTAGACCTTTTATATTCCCACAGTGGCCTTCCAAAAGCAGACTTGGTTTACCCAAAAACTGGTGGCAGTGAAAGAAAATTAAAATCACCATGCATTGGTTCTGCTTTGTTGGCTACAACAAGGATGCACGTGGCTCTGGGATAAATGGTCACTTCACCTGGACTCTTTACACACAATGTCATTCAAATCAGAACAAGCAGAGTGATGTATGACTGCTTGTATCAGAGACGGCAGAATAGGTAGCAATCTTTTATGGTTAGATCAGATTTACGTATATATATCAGGTTAGATCAGGTTTACGTATATATATTTGAAACAAGAGCAGGTTGTTCTGAAAAGCTAGGAGATAAACATGAATACTTTGACCCTGAGAGCTCAGAGTGAAGGAGAAGACCTCCCCTATGCCAGTGGTTCTCAACCTTTGGTCCTCCAGATGTTTTGGACTTCATCTTCCACAATTCCTAACAGCTGGTAAGCTGGCTGGGATTTCTGGGAATTGAAGTCATAGAATCATAGAATCAAAGAGTTGGAAGAGTCCTCATGGGCCATCCAGTCCAACCCACTGCCAAGAAGCAGGAATATTGCATTTAAATCACCCCTGACAGATGGCCATCCAGCCTCTGTTTAAAAGCTTCCAAAGAAGGAGCCTCCACCACACTCTGGGGCAGAGAGTTCCACTGCTGAACGGCTCTCACAGTCAGGAAGTTCTTCCTCATGTTCAGATGGAATCTCCTTTCTTGTAGTTTGAAGCCATTGTTCCGCGTCCTAGTCTCCAGGGAAGCAGAAAACAAGCTTGCTCCATCCTTCCTGTGGCTTCCTCTCACATATTTATACAAGTCCAAAACACCTGGAGGCCCAAAGGTTGGGAACCACTGCCCTATGCCATTTCTGTAGTTGTAGCTGTAGAAAAGGAGATTCCTTACTTTTTAAAATATGTCTCTAAACTCCTGACAAACAATCTCACTTCAAACCCTATACTGTCAAGCACATCTCTAGAGTTGGCCATGCATTTCCTTGACTCATATCTAATGTTCTGGACCAGGCCTGCACAACCTGTGGAACTCCTGAGTCCCAAACATCTAGAGGACCACAAGTTGTGCAGGCCTGGTCTAGAAGATCAAAACTGGAACCCTAAACTCAAGCAGCTTTGGGATGGGGGCATTCTTGGGCAATACCAAGCCATCCAGAACTCTACCCTTCAAATTACTCCAAAAGCACACCCACATATAATCCGTTAAGCATATTGTGGAGAATAACAACAAACCTCTACTTTACAAAAGCAGAGAACTAATTGCATTGGTTAGGAACCAAATCAACAAGATTTTAGGGCAGTGTTTCTCAACCTGTGGGTCCCCAGATGTATTGGCCTTTAACTCCCAGAAATCCTAACAGCTGGTAAACTAGCTGGGATTTCTGGGAGTTGTAGGCCAAAACACCTGGGGACTCACAGGTTGACAACTACTGCTTTGGGGCAATGACCCTATCCCATGAACAGTTGTATCTCTGCAATTCCATTTCGTTCAATTTCGGGAGCTGATTTAAAAATTGAGTTAATACTACCGCTTAGAACTCATCCATTTTATGAAACAGTCTGAACTAAGGCTCAAGTCATAATATTTTTTGTTGGCTTTCTAAAAAGACAAACTCACCTTCTCATCATGGCAGCAACGCTGGACAAAATCACTATGCATCATACAATTTTAAACAGCAACACATCTGGATGCAGATTGATGCCAGCAGAAATCAATTAACATGAGAAAAAATATTAAATGTAATAACATTACATTTCTTCCACATCTGAATTCAGAAGAAATGTGACCAAAAAACAAACAAACCCAAAAATGGAAGAAGAGAAAAGGAGAGGAGCCATTTTTTAAAGCCAATGATCAACAAGTGCAAGTTTCAAAATTCCACATGATTTTCCCTTTGTTGGTTTTTTTAAGGGCGCTTTTTCAAATGCTGGCTGCCCCTACTAGATCTTATAGTGTGCTATCACAAAAAAACTCTAGCATTTAGAACAACTCTTCCATTTACAAGCTGAATAAATCCAGACACAGGCTTTTTAAAAGCTCAGCCACTGTGCTTCAATGACACCAACTTTTGGCAGCAGCAAAGCGGGAAAGCAAGGAACCAGTAGGCATTTCTGATTAATAAAGCTCTCTCATAGAGGAGCTGTGCATCCAGAGCAGGGCATCAAGCAGAATAACAAATAATCTCCCTCTTTTCTCTTTTTAGAAAGAAAAGTAAGTGTCTCTATCATCCCCAGACACAGCACTATATGATAAGCTTAGGAAAAACAACTGGAAAGTCGCTATTTTCAAAGGTAATTTTCAGAATCGCTCCATCACTTCTGCAGGGAGATTTTGGGAGGTATAGTCACTGGAGCCCCTGATCGCACAGCAGGTTAAGCCACTGAGCTGCTGAACTTGCTGATCGAAATGTCAGCAAGCAGGGTGAGCTCCTGATATGAGGCCCAGCTTCTGCCAACCTAGCTGTTCGAAAACATGCAAATGTGAGTAGATGAATAGGAACTGCTCTGGTGGAAAGGTAACAGCACTCAGTGCAGTCATGCCAGCCACATGACCTTGGAGGTGTCTATGGACAATGCCAACTCTTTGGCTTAGAAATGGAGATGAGCACCACCCCACAGAATATGACACAACTAGACTTAATGCTGGGTTGTTGCAGGTTTTTTTGGGCTATATGGCCATGTTCTAGAGGCATTCTCTCCTGATGTTTCGCCTGCATCTATGGCAAGCATCCTCAGAGGTAGTGAGGTCACCTCACTACCTCTAAGGATGCTTGTCATAGATGCACGTGAAACGTCAGGAGAGGATGCCTCTAAAACATGGCCATATAGCCCAAAAAAACCTGCAACCACCCAGTGATTCTGGCCATGAAAGCCTTCGATAATACATTGAGACTTAATGATGGCACAGAAGAAGAAGGGACTCATCACACAAGATGGAAACATTGTGGGATTGTGAACAACTGATGGGTTTTTCTCATCAATAAAAGGGAGAGATTCATTGATGAGAGAAGAGAGGCAGGCAGACAGTGGGATATGCACAGCATTGTGTGATAGGAACTGGCACCTTCATCTTTACCTTTTACTGTCATTTCCCTAAATTCTACATTTAAGCCTAACTTAAATTCATCCTCAACCCTGAAGCAAGGGTAATTTTAAAATATCATAATATCTCCAAAGCATGTGTGGCAGAATCCTCCCAAACTAAATTGCTCACATGAATAGGAAGTTGGAGAAAAACCTGAGCCCCTACATACCAGGACAAGTACACAATCAACTTAAATAGCACAAAGTTGGACAAGATGGTATTTGGTTCTCTGGTCCTTAGCCACCTTGTTCCTCAGACCACAAAACTGCAGTGGCTTTGCCTTTCTGCAAACACACATATGCATGCAACAGGTCATGTACAAAATCAGGCTGATACACAGAACATCAGGTTTCTGGTTAATCCACTGTAGAAGTGGGAGACAAGGGAAAGAGAGACAAGAAACAGAAAGAACACAATGTGGCAGGCTTTCTGCTCTGCTGACCATGACTGGTCATCCATACAAAATATGTGTGTTTTTTCCTACCAAAAGACTGGTCCTTGAGCCGGTTCCAAGCGTTGGGGTCTCTCCCTTTGGGCGGTGTAGGTCGAGGCTGCAGCACCCACTCCGCACGCGGGGAATTGGAAGGTTTTGCTTTGATTGAGTCTTCTACGGAAAAGATAACAGGGTCACTTTTTCTTGTGGTGTGATCTTTCCCCCTCCTTCCCCAACTCTCTTCAAAATCACATTTCTCCTTAATTAGAAACCTCATGTTGGGGTAATACCAACATAGCTATTAAAATCTGCCCAAAATGCATCAAGGTAAAAAAGACTTTGTCATTTCAAAAAGGACAAACTGTCCTTTCCCTCAAATTCCCTCTGGCTGTACACGACACTCTATCCAAAGCCCTTTTTCATCTACTGAGTAGATCACTGATCACAGCATACTTCTGTTTTGATTTTGCTGGTAAGATTATATTGCTTTATCACAGAAAAGATACTGAATTCCCATCACCTGTAAAATCTCAAGCCACAGCTAGTACCATTGGACACTGAAACCAATCATTTTGCCTATATGGCGGATATGGAATTCAACTCGCACACCAAGAATATACACTCTATTTGCACATGGGAAAACTATCTGCAATGGAAGCTAGGCCCTCTGAACCTATCATCTAGGTACATTACATTTTTTAGACTATGCTTCCTAGAAAATCTCAGGCCTGAATCCCCAGTGTTAGTCCCAACTAGAGTATCAAGGAGCCCCCGGTGCAACAATGGATTAACCCTTGTGCCAGCAGAATTACTGACTGACAGGTCAGTGGTTCGAATCTGGAAAGTGTGGGTTAAGCTCCCTCTGTCAGCTCCAGCTCCCCATGCAGGGACATGAGAGAAGCCTTCCACAGTGGTTCAAATTTGGGGAGAGCAGGTTAAGCTCCCTCTGTCAGCTCCAGCTCCCCATGCGGGGACATGAGAGAAGCCTCCCACAGCAGTTCGAATCTGGGGAGAATGGGTTAAGCTCCCTCTGTCAGCTCCAGCTCCCCATGCGGGGACATGAGAGAAGCCTCCCACAGCAGTTCGAATCTGGGGAGAACGGGTTAAGCTCCCTCTGTCAGCTCCAGCTCCCCATGCAGGGACATGAGAGAAGCCTCCCACAGCAGTTCGAATCCGGGGAGAGCAGGTTAAGCTCCCTCTGTCACCACCAGCTCCCCATGGAGAGACATGAGAGAAGCCTTCCACAGCGGTTCAAATCTGGAGAGTGGGTTAAGCTCCCTGTGTCAGCTCCAGCTCCCCATACAGAGACATGAGAGAAGCCTCCCACAGTGGTTCAAATCTGGAGAGAGCGGGTTAAGCTCCCTCTGTCAGCTCCAGCTCCCCATACAGGGACTTGAGAGAAGCCTCCCACAAAGATGGTAAAACATGAAAGCATCCCTTGCAGACAGCCAATTCTCTCACACCAGAAGCAACTTGCAGTTTCTCAAGTTGCTCCTGACACACACAAAATTACATCAATGGGAGTTGCATTGATGTTGAGTCAACAATTAACAATCGATTCAAAACATACTCCCAATTAAGACTTAGGCCATTAAAATATAACATTTCCATATTCTTTTTTACAGTTATCACAGGGAATCTCAGCAGACTGGTTTTTTCTCGGCTTTTCTCCTCCTGGTAGATACAGCTGTATCAAAAGTGTGCCATAGCACATAAAAGATTCAGAACAGGTATCCTTTCCCCTTGAACACACGGCAGTCTGACATGCGACTGCACTTAAGCATGGCTGACTTCCCCTCATCAGACCACACAGCTCTCAAATAAAATTTCCTTCAAATGGCACAGCCCATAATTTCCCTTCTTCAGTCCATCATCGTATTCTGCATTATGGATAGAAGAGGCCTGACCTACCAATTCACAGAGCCTAGGATAAGAGAGAGTGTCACTAGCTGATCCACTTGTCTTTCTTGGACTCTGAGAAGTCTCAAGCTTTTGTCATTTTTAATGATTTGGCTCTGTCTAGGCTCTGACCAGGGCAATGTAGGGAAACCCACACTCTAGTTGCTTGCTCTCTCTGCAATGAGGATGGATTAGCAATACCTTAATCATCCCAGGCAGATATTTCTCCAGCTTCTCTTTAAACCCTTCAATTGTTAAAGCCTTTAAAACCAACCTTGGGAACATGCTCCCCTGCATAATCTCACAGTCAAAAAGGCTTCCCTTAATACTTAACTTCAATCTTCCTTCCTGTAGACTAAGCCCATTTGAAGGGGGGCGGGACCCTGCGCTCTCTCTCACTCTTGCTCTCTTTCTCTCCTGCAGTATGAACGTGCCCACATATTTCTTCTTCTTTATTTATTGTTCTTGCATTCCAAACTTTATATAACTTTTTGTCACCTCCACAGATGACCGCCCAACAATGACATTGCCTGAAATTTGCAGAACCCACAACCAAACAGAGTTCAGAGAGAACCTCTTCCAAACAAAACCTCATAATCAATTTATCACTGGATTCCAAGGGATATATCTTCCCAGCTTTTGTGGAGATGACTACAAAAGCTATGTTAAACAATCCCCTCACACCACAAAATAGGATGTGACGGTGGCAGACATGTGCCTTAAAATGAGAATAGACTCATCTCTGGGTTGTTGTAAGTTTTTCAGGCTATATGGCGATGTTCTAGAAGCATTCTCTCCTGACGTTTTGCCTGTATCTAAGGAAGGCATGCTCAGGGGATGCCTGCCATAGATGCAGGTGAAACATCAGGAGAGAATGCTTCTAAAATATCGCCATATAGCCCGAAAAACCTACAACAACCCAGTGATTCCAGCCATGAAAGCCTTCGATAAGACTCATGTCTCATCTAGCAGCAGAACGGACACACAGGTCAGGCATGCTGAACCAGTGACCTGGCCAGTCTACCCTCCACAAAGGTAACATTCTCCTAGCTAGGGCAGAGTACAGAGGGGCAATGCTGGCACAAGATGCCATCTATCACACTGGAGCAAGAACACATAAATGTCCTTCTGCTATTTAGGTAATGCTATTGGTTTCTATAACTTTGCTCCCGGAGTAGATATGGGGACAGAGTTGGCATAAGGGTTTGTGGCAGTGCCTTGTCCCAATATTACTATCCATGTTACGGTCACCCATAGTCTCCAGCTATGTCCATTCAACATATCATCAAAGAGCTACAATCAGCTTTGGAGAATAACACAATCTACAATAGGCATGGGTGAACTTTGGCCCTCTGGGTGTTTTGGACTCTAACTCCCACAATTCCTAATAGCCGATAGACTGGTAGGAATTGTGGAAGTAGAAAGTCCAAAATACCCAGAGGGCCAAAGTTTGCCCATGCCTGGTCTACAAGCTATGGGAGGTAGGTCATTATTAGCTTCCAGATGGGCTCCAAATCTCAAAATCACAACAGGGCAGCATACCATATTACAGACATCATTCTACACTGGAAAAAATAGGACAGTCTCTATGCAATGTATACAAACCGGACATTTATTTATTTATTTATTTACAGCATTTATATGCCGCCCTTCTCACCCCGAATGGGACTCATTGCGGCTTACAAGGTATATATACATACAATATGTTATATTATTAGCATAGTACAATATCGGTTTTAAATATTGCTATATTGTACTATACCAATTATATTGTAATATTATTAGTAATATTACATGTAATAGAAATATATAATTATAATATATTATTGTTAGTAGTATTAGTATTATAATACATTACATTATAATATTATAAGTATTATATGTATATACAATATATCATATATCATATCATATTATATTATATTATATTATATTATTGAAAACTGCAATATCTAAGCTGCAGAACATTTTAGCCTTTCTGCACCCACAGTACAGGATTTGAAAGTTGTAGTCCTTGAACAAGGAAATTACATAAGAAGGTCAGAAATACAAACAGCTGGACTAAATTATATTTACAAATTTCAATCCATTATCAAAGGTAGGGACAAGGCATAAAAGGATTCATGGCACACTACATACAATATATTAATACAAGAGTTCTTGCTACTGTAACAAAATCATCTCAGAAAAGGTTTCAAACCCATGTAAATGGATTTTTAGATTTACTGCTTTACTTTAACTAACCACTGGAAAATAATCTGAATGAAAATAATCTGAACGACTTTATATAGTCCTTGAAAGCTTAGGGCATGGATCATGATTTGGATCTGTCTAGATCAGGGGTCCTCAAACTACAGCCCGGGGGCCAAATACGGACCTCATTTACCCGGCCCTCGCTCAGGGTCAACCTAAGTCTGAAACTACTTGAAAGCACACAACAACAACAACAACAACAATCTTATCTCATCAGCCAAAAGCAGGCCCACACTTACCAACAAAATACTAATAAGTTTATATTTATTAAAATTGTTCTTCATTTTAATTATTGTATTGTTCTAAAGTGTTTTTTGGACTACAAATAAGATATGTGCAGTGTGCATAGGAATTCATTCATTTTTTTTCCAAATTATAATCCGGCCCTCCAACAGTTTGAGGGACTATAACCTTGCCTCTGTTTAAAAAGTTTGTGGACCCCTGGTCTAGATCTTATTACATCCCATCCCAGTCCCATAACTACATAAATATGCTTTATATCCCGAGGCCTGGGTACCACTCCGCACTGCATCTGAAGAAATGGGTTCATATCCATGAAAGAAGATGATAACATGAATGCCAGTTAGTTTTGGAGGTGGTGACGCATTCTTTTTCTCCCACCTTTCTTCTTTTTAGATTGCAAGAGATTGACATAGCTACTTTGAAAACTACTAATCAGGGTGTTTCCACAAAAGGCTTTTATTGTTCAACCATTCTGCTTCATTCACAGAAGCAGACATTGTTGCCTTACAATTGTAATCGTTCTATGTTTTCTCACCATTTCTTCTGTTGTTTTTCTTACCCTTAGACAATTCATTAAGAAAGCTGTGTACCAGCCAGCAATTAATTGTGCTGGAGGTTGTCAGTGTGGAAGTCCCCTGAGCAAGAGGACTGCATGAAGAAGATTCAGCCAGTTCAGGGGACAATAAAGGTGTTACGTTCACAAACATTCAGCTCTTTGGGTATTTAAAACAGATTTCTGCTTTCTACCCGAGTGGGGTAAGGTCATGTTTAAAAGAAGG